CACTATTCCAAAAAATTTCAACTATCAAAAATATCAAATAATGGGGGCCAAACAGGGGCAAAATATAAAGTTGGGTGGTCATGATAAAACAAAATCAAATTAGGTGGCCATGGTAACATTAACATGTTCTTAGTACCGTTTGAAATAATAATTTTTTTGAAGAATTTGTGATTTAAAAATAGTTAACTTTTTTGAATTTACATTTGAATCTTTTTTATGAAAGAATGTAGTTGAAATTAAGATATTGTTTGATTCTTATTATTTTTAAAATACATTTTTCTCTCCATTCTTTTCAATCAAACATTTTTCAATAAAATAATATTATATGAAAATTCAAAATCTTTCCTTATTTTTTAATCACACATTCTTCATTAATTCATTATTTCAAAATGCATTCTTACGATAAAATAAGATTCAAACATGCTCCAAATTTTGAAAAAAAAAAAAGCTCAAAAAAGACTTAATATTCCATCGTGTGCTCTGTTAGGAATTTTCAAAAAGCGAGGACGGGGGGCACTGAGTAGAGTCAAGGATAAAATATCTTAATTTTTTTTTTCTCGTCTCCTATTTATTTATTTTATTATTTAACTACGATATGAATTTAAAGATTTAAAATAAATGAAAATAGTAATTGGGGTTAACACGATTTTCTCCATTCTTGTTTCCAGTCCGATTCCTTAACAGGAGTTAGAGATTTTCATCCTCAACAAATGTCCATTTTTTCAAACAATTATTATATATCTTGTCATTCTTTTATGTTTTTATACACACAGAACAACTTGTAAATGCTCATTTCTTATCTTAATTTCCGTCTTAACCATTTCGATTGTGGCATTGCTGAAAATATAAAGAAAACAAATTGTACAATTATAAAATATTGACTAATAAAAAAGAATGTCTCTTTCTAAGAATTTTATTTATAGAAAAATAGTTTTCACTTCCTCTATGGTAATATCCAAAAACTAAACTCTCCATCCAAAATAGCCATTTAACTTTATAACATTTTTCACGTTGGTCATTCCATCCATTTGCTTGTAGAACTACTGTTAGAACCAGTGGCAGCAGCAAGCTGTTTGACGCCAAAGTTTAGTTCTAGTTAGTTAAAGTTAGTTAGTTAGTTAGCTGTCATCTAACTGTAATTCCCGCCTATTTTTCACTTCCTTTGGTTTGATATTTATATTGTAAACATTTCATTTCATCATTGAATAAGAGATTTTTTGCTCTCCAATATTCTCTCTGGTCTGCAATATGGTATTAGCGCTCCTTCTCACCTCTGCTATTGAATGCTGGTAAACTCTGATTGATNTGGTCTGCAATATGGTATTAGAGCTTCTTCTCAACTCTGCTATTGAATGCTGGTAAACTCTGATTAATCATGGCGGATTTTCCCGTTCAAAATCAATAAAATAAAAATTCATCTCCATCAATGAGTCATTCCGACATTGATGATGTTTCTAGTACATATTATCTTCACTACTTAGACAGTCCAGGTCTCGTTCTGGTTTCTCAACATCTTACTAGTGAAAATTACGCATCATGGAGTCGTGCTATGACTGTAAAGAATAAGCTTGGTTTTATTGATGGATCTATCATTTGACTTGAAGGAAATAAAGATATTTTCAACTCTTGGATCTATAATAACAATATTGTTATTTCGTGGATTCTCAATGCAGTTTCAAATGAAATTTTAGCTAGCATTATATATTCTGAATCTGCTCCTGAAATTTGGCTTGATCTTAAGTAATGATTTCAGCAGAGGAATGGTCCTCGAATCATCCAATTAAGAAGGGAGTTAATGAATTATACACAAGGTCAATTGTCTGTTAGTGCTTACTTTACTAAGCTGAAGACCATTTAGGAAGAGCATAGTAATTATCGACCATTATGTTAATGTGGAAAGTGTAATTGTGGGGAAAATAAAAAATTGGCCGAACATGAGTTATATGGTGGAATGTGTTATATCATTTTTAATGGGTTTACATGAGTCATATGTTCAAGTTAGAGGACAATTATTGCTCATGAATCCAATTCCACCAATCAACAAAGTGTTTTCACTTATTTCTCAAGAAAAGCATCAAAGATCTGTAAATGTGACTCCTGGAACAACTGATTCCTTGGCCTTTTTGTTAGAAATGATGTTAAAAGGACCAACAAGGGGCAATCCTATAGTAAAAATCAAAAGAAAGAAAGACCTGTTTGTATTTATTGTAGGTCATGCTGTTGATAGATGTTACAAACTCCATGGACTTCCTCCAGGATACAAGTCAAGGCAGAAATCCAACTCAAATAATCAAATAGGATCAAGTTCAAGCAACCAAATAGGTTATAATGTTCAGTCAAGTAATGCTATTGCTAATCAAATTTTTGATTCTATTCCAGATAAACCCATTGACAATGTTGGGAGCTTTGTACAAACGTTGAATTCTGACAAATATCAGCATCTAATGAGTTTGTTGAGCACACATCTTACAGATGCAAAGGTGGAATATGAAGGTGCTAATTCTGGTCTTGTATCAGGTACATGTCTTTCCATTTCCATTAACTAAATACTCAGTTCTCCTGCATATTGGGTACTAGATTTAGGGGCAACCAGCCATGTTTATTTCAATCATGCATCTTTCCAAACATTGAAGGCTGTACAGAATGTTTATATCACACTACCTAATCATATCAGAATCCCAGTACAATTGACTAGAACTATTAAACTAACTCTTGAAGATGTGTTATTTATACCTCAATTCAAGTTCAACCTGTTATCCATCAGTTCTTTGACAAGGAACTCAAATATAAGCATCAGATTTTTCACTGACCATTGTGATATTCAGGACATATGCAGCTTGAAGATGATTGGCAGGGCTAAGAGAATTGGTGGTATCTACATCATTGGTGCGGTATCTAATGAGATGAAAAATGAATGTAATCTTTCTAAAGTTGTCTGTAATCCTATTTTTTCTGTATTCAATAATGTGCCCTCACATGTTTGGCACAATCGACTTGGTCATTTGTCCTTTAAAAGGCTGAAAACTTTGAAAGATCAACTACATTTTAAGAATGATAGATGTACTGCACCTTGTTATATCTGTCTATTGGCTAAACAAATAAGGTTGTCATTTGCATCAAACAACCATTTA